TTGATATTGAAGCAATCGTGATAGAATGCGGCTCACTCGTTTATAATCCCAGGAGCTCAAAGTTAAGTATATGTTCTGTTTTGGAACTTCACAATAAGGGAGGTAGATGTAACTGAGAGACCGCCTCTTTCCCCAAGAAAGCTTCATGGTTAAGACATCTCCCCCCCCCAACACACACAGAGAGAACTCCTTTATCATATTCTCTTCCTATCTAGAGCTGGCAGGAAGTCATGCTGACTTAAATCTTGTCGCCTCTGCAAGCTTGCCCTTTATACGCTTTGAATGGGTCCATGTTACACTATTATCTTCTAGCTTTTAACTTGCACTATACTAAGGGTTCGAGAGTCTGGTAGCACCTGAGGTTAACCAATAGACCTTTTGATCAGTGGTGAAATCTGAACCGGTTTGTCACTGGTTTGCTGGCCGCGCATGCGCAGTGTGAGCCAAATGTGTGATGTGTGCATGTGCGGTGTGTACCAAATGTGTGCATGCACATGCACAGTACATGGAAAAAGGAGGCTTGGGAAGGTAAGTATAACAGCGAGGGGGGAACAGCTGTGCTGCATGATTTAGATTCGCTAGATCGCTAGATTCACTAGCAATTTTAAATCACACGGCACAACTGATCGTTGGAAATACCTGTTCAGAGGAACCGGTAGGATTTTTTACTACCAGTTCGCCCAAACTGGTAGTTTTTATCACTACCGGTTCACACGAACCGGTGTGAACTGATAGGATTTCACCGCTGCTTTTGATCACTAGAGGGCAGCATAGAATTAGGTTTTTATTTGTATCTTGACTGTCATCAAGTGGTCCTCTGTATTTGTGCAGCCACTGGATAAATGGCGTTGAAGAACCTGACTTGGAGAAGGGAGATAAGCTACGGAAATCAGAATGGGCACCGTAAACTATCCTAAGAACATTATGCGAGAAAATAAATTGAGGAGCTATTGATCTTGGAGCAATAGCTACTAGGAAAGGAATTATCTTCCGGGCAGGCTACATTGTACAAGAGATGCCGGTAATTCTTTTGAGTACACTTCCAAGTAATCCAGAGATAGGCTAATTGATTTCACATTCTGTGTTAACCAGCCAATCTTTAAAAAAAAAAAAAGTGACTGTAAAAGTTGGGGTGCTGGTTTTCCTCAGGGGCAAAAGAGCGTAGAAGGGTAGAAATCATATGGGAAGGGGTGATTCCATAGGAATCTGGCTGTACCAACTAGAGTCACAATTTTGCCAACAGAACATGTCATTTCAGTCCCTCTCCTGATGTGCATCTCTACTTTGTTCTTTACATGTGTTCTCTACTTTGCTTGGATGTCGCATCTGGAAGTGAGATAAGATGGAAAAAAACACTTTCAGAGTGAAATACATACACACACACACACACACACACACACACACACACACACACAAAATTCTCAGGCATATTTCAGCAGGAACCTTGTGTTGAAAACCATTCAACTATTTTAGAAATGATTTGGGAATTAATTTCTTGTCTTAATGCCATTATAAGCAAACCACTCCTTTCATCTTTCTGAGAGCTCATCAGATATACAGCTCTAAATAGATGGAAGTTAATTCGGAGTTATCCAAGGAACTGTACGTATATTCTTATTTAATTTCTCTTTAGCATCTGCCCTATCCTTTTAAGGACCTGGGAAAGAAAACTGAAATTTTATTCTCAGGAAAAAGGGGGGAGCAGCAATAGCACTTAGACTTATATATTGCTTTACAGTGCTTTCTACCCCTCTCTAAGCAGTTTACAGAGTCAGCCTATTGCCCCCAACAATTTGGGTCCTTTTAACCACCTCGGAAGGATGGAAGTCTGAGTCAACCTTGAGCCTGGTGAGATTTGAACTGCCAAATTGCAGGAAGCTGGCAGTCAGGAGAATTAGCCTGCAGTACTGGGTTCTAACCACCGCGTCACCGCGGCTCACACAGATTACACCAATTCTCCTCTGCTGGCTGCAAGAAGCCATTGCAAGAAGGGAGAAGGTTTCTGTATTCTCCTGAATACTCCAGTATTGATATATCAGTAACTTGCTCCTTGTGGAGCTGTATAGCATCACTTAAGGATCAGTATTCCAACCTGAATACAGGTAGTTGCTGATTTGCAACCATGTGTTTTGTTACCATTCAAAGTTACATCGGCACTGAAAAAAATAGTGCCTTTATGATTGTTTTTCACTTATGACTGTCGCAGCATCCCCATGGTGACGTGATCAAATTTCAGACACTTGGCAACTGACTCATATTTATGATAGTTGCAGTGTCCCAAGGTCCTCTCAGTTTGAATTTGAATTTGGTTTTAATTGGGTTGTTTTAAATCTTGGGCCGAAATTATTTAATTGTTTTTAAACTGTTTTTAAATTTTATATGCAATGTTTTATCTCGGCTGTACACGGCCCTGAGTCCCGCAGGAGAAGGGCGGTATAGAAATAAAATAAAATAAAATAAAATAAAATAAAATAAAATAAAATAAAATAAATAAATAAATAAATAAATAAATAAATAAATAAATAAATGTGATCACCTTTTGAGACCTTCTGACAAGCAAAGTCAAGGGAGAAACCAGATTCACTTAACAACCGTGTTACTAACAACTGCAGTGATTCACTTAACAATGGTGGTAACAAAGGTCGTAAAACGGGCCAAAACTCAGTTAACAACTGCCTTGCTTAGCAATGGAAATTTTGAGCAGAATTGTGGTTGTTAAGTCGAGGATTGCCTGTAGTACATTTACAGGGCCTCAATCATTACTGATAACATCAAGGATGAGAAGTAAAGAGAAATGAAATCCAGGCTTCTTACAAAAACCTATGAAGGGTTTTATGCTTTTGCAGAAGAGAACAGAAGAGAGAGGGAGAGCTTAGAAGTGAAAAAAGCCTTTGTTGCTTAGTTCAACTCGTTAGAAGATTCTAAATAAGAGGTCTAAGCTGCTGAGCTTTATGCAAGTAAAGAAAGTGGCCATAAATTCTCCATGTGTGAAAGCCCCTTACTGGTAAAGTATCTTTTTCTTTTCTTTTTTTCCTTCTTTCTTTCTTTCTTTCTTTCTTTCTTTCTTTCTTTCTTTCTTTCCTTCCTTCCTCTCTCTCTCTCTCTCTCTCTCCCTTTCTTTCTTTCTTTTCTTTTCTTTTCTTTTTTGGTTTGATTTATATGCCGCCCTTCTCCGGAGACTCAGGGCAGCTTACAATGCGTTAAGCAATAGCCTTCATACTTTTGTATATACCTACTTAGTAGGGCTTTCGGCCCCCCCTAAGTGGTGTTCTTTTTTATACAAAGTCAGCTTATTGCCCCCACAATCCGGGTCCTCATTTTACCTACCTCGGAAGGATGGAAGGCTGAGTCAACCTTGAGCCTGGTGAGATTTGAACTTGCAATAATTGCAGGCAGCTGGTGCTATTTAACAGCACTTTAGTCTGCTGCGCCACCAAGGCTCTTATCTTAACATAAATTTTGCAAATTTATACAGTGCTATCCAAGAAGAAAAAATATATTTAAATCCAAGAAAGAATAGGTAGTGAGATGTGCTTGCCTTAACCCCGTTACAGAAGCATAGCCAGTCTGACCTTGTAGTTAAGTGAGTTCAAGTCCCGCTTTAGGCACGAAAGCCAGCTGGGTGCCTTTGGGCCACTCACTATCTCTCAGCCCAACTCACTATACAGAAGATTGGGGGGGGGGGTAGGAGGAGGAAGGAACATTGTGTGTGTTTATCACCTTTATAAAAATAATAAAAAGTCGGGATATAAATAAATAAACTTATGACCGAAATGCCCAAGTATTTCAGGTTATACATTTTAAGAGTATCAGCAGAGAAAGGGAAAGAAAGGTAGACAACTTAGAAGTCAATTCCAACTGGATTTGTCTCTCCCTCAACAATCATTCAGCAACCTTTTACTGGGATATAGCTGAAGAAGCGATAAAGTTCCCTATAGGTTAAGAATTGGTTTCCAAATATGTCTTTTCCCGTCTTGGACATTTTTTTTTTGTTTAACTGCCATGTTTGTTTTTAAAAGATTGTAAATATAACATTAGGGACTCTCTTTTTATTGATATAGAAGCTGTACTGGGAGTCTTTCTAGCTGGGATGTGGGCATAAGTGCTTTTATAAAAAATCACCTTAAGTTTCTTGCTTGGAACTAAAAGCTAAACAAAAATGAAGAAAATCCATCCCTTGCCGCTCTTCAGCTACAAAGAAGGGAGGCGGTGGGAGTCCCCCGTTTAGATGCCTCCATATGTTCCAACTATTTTCCACCTACCACTGAATGAATTAAGAATTTTTACAGCCAGACTCTGCCCTAAGTTAGGGAGGCTCAGTGCTGTTGTAAGAAATGCAACAAGAAGTACTGTATTATCGTGATTGTGATGGGCAGAAAACAAATTTAATAAATAATTATTATTGACTCAAAAGCTCCCCAATTTTTGCAGCTACAAAAGCACATGGAAGGTGCGCGAGATCAGAAAAAAAGAAGCAGAATATTTGCTAGCTAAAGCCCACTCAAGCCAGAGGTAGAACTGAACATACCAAAGGCAATCCATCTGTGGAATATGGGGAGCTTCCTTGAAAGGATATTTTACTGGACTGTATTAAAATATCCATCCTCCTCTACCATAAAGCTAGAGGAGGGAGAGACAACACTCTAGAAATGGAAACTGAACACTTTTGGCATTCCATGTCACACCCCTCTTACCCAAGTATGTAGCACATGCCGAATTAAGGAGAGATTAGGACAAATTAAATCTGAGAAGGGTTCCTTTGTTTAAAGGCTTAAAAAACACCAGGGAAGGATTTGAAAACTAAAAGAGGATGAAGAGGCCAGGCTGGGTGACCTTAGGAGAAAAAGCTTCAGCCACGCTGAAGTTCTCCATCTCCAACCCATTCCTCTGTCTGAGGAAGAGAAGGCAGCTTTCTGTCCTCCTTCACCATTTGCCAAGATGGGGTTAAGCAGCTGATAGAACCAACACCCCCTCCAATGACTCACACCAACACTTGTAACGTAATTAAGCCACCTGCTTTTATTTCATTCTTTCTAACTTCATAGCACAGACTTATCCAGCTTGCATGGAAAAAGCATAGCTTCTTTTCCTTTCCTTGTGGGTATGTGCACTTCCATGCCAGTCTGTTTCATGATTCCTCCCAGCTAGAGGCTGCCCATGGATACTCAGACAAAGCGAAAGGCCCAATGGTACCTCTTATGCCATCTAAATGGGCCAGGAAGTGGGGTGGGGGGAAAAAGCTTACTCAATGCTGCAGAAGAACAGTCACTGAACTAGAGGAAGAGGTTTCAGGCAAGGACTCTGCCATGACATGCCTTCAGTTGGCAACATAGCATGAGAGATGCAATTCTGGTGACCAAGAGAATCTGGCATCTGGATCAGGAAGTGGAAGGCTGCAGCTGTCCTTTGTAAACATATTCCAGAGCGGTGGCAATGGTCCGCATGTCCATCTCGATACTCCGTGCCCAGTTCTCCACATCACCAATTTCCTGCCCAGAGACAAAAATCAAGATCAAACCCCTGTTCTTCGGCTTCACAAATCCATGCATGCCTGGACCTAATTTTCTAGAGCATCCTTCTGCTCTGACACTGAAATAATTTTAGATGAACTCAAGAATAATGTACAGAAAACAATTTACCATTTTAACAGAAGACCTTTGTTAGCCCTTATCTCTTTCACTAAATACACTACAAGGCTCAAACAGTCTTTCATTTCTTTGTCTACTAGACTCTCTCTCTCTGTCTTTCTGTCTGTCTGTCCATCTATCCATCTATCCATCTATCCATCCATCCATCCATCCATCCATCCATCCATCCATCCATCCATCCATCCTCTCCCTCCCTGCCATTTAGGATGAAAAATGTAGAAATACAAATTCCACAAATGCATATAGACCACTTTTGTCCTTTTTTACAGAATCAGTATCTTGAAAAACCTACGACCAGTAGATGGCGCTCTCCCATTACGCCCAGGATTAATCACAGTTTGACAAAACAACAAATAACATTTGAGAGATCAAGTTAACATTGTTTTGGTAGTGAGTTGCTGACAGTAAACTTTAAATAAAAATGTAGCTACACCTGCTCTTCTCAGATGTCCCAGGTTGCTGATCCATGCCCAGTATGCCACAGTAGAACTAGAGGGCAGACAAGGGTCAAAAGTGCAATTTTAAATGGGCATGTTGCATCAGATTTTTGAAATAGAAATTATAACATAATTCATAGTAAAGAAGTTGTAAATGAAGTGCCAGAAGGGAGACCGTCTTGTTGAGATGCTTGCTATTCCTTTCCCCTTCTGGAATTGCCTCTTCTTTTGTATCTGTGAACTGATGGCTCTGTATATGCTGAACCCAGCTGTGATTCCCTCTATTCCCACCCACCAAGCCCAGCCCAGTCCTTTAAGGCTGACCTAGCAGAGGCTGTGTAATATATGAACCACTGCCCTTCATGCAGGAACTGTGCTCACCTTCAGAGCTTGATTGAAGTTTTCTACCATGCTGATCCACTGGCCCGTTTGCTTGGCAAACTGAGCAGCTTGGATCTGCAGTGTCTTCACCTCGTGGTCCAGCTTCCTTTGGTTCACATAAGCCTGGGCCACCCTGGGAATGAGAGACTCAGTCATTCTTTAAGACAACAAGGGAGAATCAGAAGAGGCTTCCTTTCTCTAAGCCCTCCGCCGCTCTATTTTCTGTTCAAACTTTTCTCCGTACTAAGTAGCTTCCCAGCTCAGAACAAGCTAATCCCAGGGGCAAAGGCAGGCGCTGGGAGCTTGTAGACGGATAAATTCCCAAGGATATACTAGATTAAGTATATAAGCAACATCTGGCAATCATTATATATACAAGGAGCATCTGGATCCATTTGTGAATAAGGCAAAGTCAGGTGAAAGATTCAGCATGGTGAGGAAGCTGAGCCACTTTGAGTTGAAGAAATTGCCCAAAGAAGGGCAGATATAGCAATAGCACTTACGACTTATATACCACCTTACAGTGCTTTGCAGCCCTCTCTAAGCAGTTTACAGAGTCAGCCTATTGCCCCCAACAATCTGGGTCCTCATTTTACCCACCTTGGAAGGATGGAAGGCTGAGTCAACCTTGAGCCTGGTGAGACTCGAACTGCCAAACTGGGAATAAGGGATATAAGGGAAGGGCAAAATAATAAAGAGGTTGTGATGAAGAGGAAAAACAAACCAACCTGCAAACAGCCAAGGTGTTTCTAAAACTGCCTGCCACATTAATGACATATAGAAATAAAGCCATTCTGAGAATTCCTTTCACTGCGTATTTTTAGGCAGCAAATTTTCCAGATTGAATAAAAAGAACTCCAGGAAACTATGACATCCTTCCTTTATAAATTATAGTTTCTGATAACGCATAGTCTCAGACCTTACCCAGCATGAGGTAAGTGACTTGTTCTGTTATGACTCAATAAATGAATAGGAATACTTTTCCTGCTTCACTGAAAGATGATCATTCTCAACTAATAAGGGTCTCTCTCGCAGGTGGAGAGTTAAGAGATAGAGAAAGCAGAACACACCAAGGCAGCACTTTCAAAGTGGAGAGATGCTACTATGTAAACTTTACTTTGTGGAACTAAAAACTCTTGAGGCTTTCTCCAATTTTTTTGTCAGCTTCCCAGGAGGAATGTAAGGTATACAGAGCATATGGTTTACTCTAAAATCTTCAGTCGCTTAAGCTGATGTGAAAGATGTTTCAAAGACCAAACATTTGTTCTGACGGCTACTGTGACTTGTTATACAATGACATTATGTTTAAAAGGTGAAGTGCTAGGCTAAGACTGGCTTTGCACAGTTGGATGAATGAGGGTCTTAAATGGCTGAAAGTGATTATCTGAGAAAGTTTTCCTGTTATTGCCAGAGGCTCATCTTGTGGAAATTCAGAGTCAAACTTTTTTCTGTAATCATCCCAGTTCTCTGGAAAATATTCTCCATTGAATTGAGGCATCTACCCTTCCCAGACCTTTTTAAATAGGCTTGTAATTGCTTTTCAACTCTCTTATTTTTAATTCTACTGAGGATCTAAAACACCAAGAGACCTCAATGATCAGAGAAATATAAGGTAATCCGGATTGTTTAATTGAACTAGGTCAATTAACGCTCTTTAACAAACTATGGGCTTCTAATACAATCCCTTCTTTAATCAACTGAGTATTTATATTGGTGTTTGATGCTTAATCTATTATACCATTTAAGAACAAGCCCTATATTCCTATTATCACCTACTGCATTTTTAATGAACTATGCAACCAATTAAACATTTAACTGAATTCTGTAACAATTGTGTTATATTAAGTGAATAGATGAATGTTTTATAAGTGGTATATTTTCAGAAAATATCTTTTAATGTTAAGCTGATAAATTCTCTTTTTCTAACTTGAGGTACGGTAATTGAGTTAATTATCAAACATTTATATATCTGACATAAAATATACAATAAATCTGGGGAAGAAACAGCAATATTCTGATATTGGTAGCAATCGGACTGACATGGACTGATACTTTTGATAACAGGCCAATGAGATATTTTCATCACAGACATTTCAACTTACATGTTTTCAGTTAAGAAATGTTGATATATAAAGTCAGTATCTATGTGAGATGAAAATCACATATGTAAGCTACAGCAGAAGCTACCACCTTCTGCCAATAATAAAAAGCTAAATATTTAAATAATTCTACTGTATTTGATAACAATACTTTTGAGAACAGAAGGAACTGCTTGTAGGTAAGGGAGAAAGGTGTGACAATTACAGGGAATATTCTTGAAAACGATTATGCTAAAAACATGGTCTTATATGATTTGTTTTTGACATATTTGCTTGGATGTAATACTTCTGATAGAATCCTTCACCTAGGCTGCCTTACTATCAACAAGGAAATTAGAAGTCATATTTGCAGATAACATTCTTCATTTGCAACCCCTAAAAAGAAGGATAAAAAGATAAGGATTTAGTTATTTCTTCTCATTTTTCTTGCAGAAACCTTGGGGGATCTTGGATGTTTATCTGAAAGGAATTTTTCCACTCTTATCTGGATTCAAATCTACAAATTAAAGCTATAGAAAAAGGCTCTGAATATTACAGGCTCCTTGGAGGAAAAAAAAATCTTTTGAGATGGATTTGTTAGACCAAATGAAATGGTTTTTAACACTCAGCTGCAGGGGAAGGACAGGTATCTGTTTGAGCCCTCCTTTCATTTGCTTTTCATTGCATCTGGTACCAATTTAAATCTTTGCTCCACTGATTTTTGTCCACTGAAGTCAGCGGCCCACTAAATGGGAATGGATTGGAAAACACAAAATACGTATTGAAATAACTTATGGGACTGATACGAGACAATATTTGTAGTTCAGGGTTGAACTGTGGGGTCCTTGGTACTCTCTGAACTTGGTTGTTTTCTTAAGAGACCCGTGATGGCAAACCTATGGCATGCGTGCCAGAGGTGGCACATAGCACCCTCTCTGATGGCACATCAGCCGTCCCCCCAGTTCACCTCTGCTGTGCATGCGCAAGGGGGCAGGGGGCATGCGGGGGGGCAAGCGGGGGGGGAGCGTGCATGTGCGGGGGTGGGGCATGCGCGGAGACTGTGCCACATGCGCAGGATGCATGCAGGGGACTGCATGTGCATATGGGGGGCAGGGCACCTGCAGGGGGCATGCACATGTGCAAAGGCCGGCGCGCATGTGAGGCCGCACACGCATGCGGGGGGATGGGGTATGTGGAGGGGAGCCACGCATGTATGCATAGGGGGTCACGTGCGCAGGGGCCGCACACGCATTGCATCTTGGGGGTTCGGGCACACACACGCTTTGGCCACTCGGTCCGGAAAAGGTTAGGCATCACTGTCTCAGGTGCCGGCCGAGGGAGAGGAGATTAGCAGGGAGACAGGTGGCTCAGATGAGAGCGAGGGAGAGACATCATTCCTGGACGCACGCCTCCGAAGGCGTGATAAACAATTGCAGCAGCTCAGGAGGCGTGCTAGGGATTAGAACTGAGTCACTGGACCACACCCCAGAGACTATATAATAGAGGGTGGTGGCCAGTGATCCTTGTGACGAACAAAAGTAAACCTTGGATAGTCACTAAAGCCTCATCCGGAAACTGCTGAGAGGAATATTATTCTGATTGGACTTTTGTACGCTAAGTATCTTATCTTTCTGTTTTGTGGAAATAAACGCACTTGGCAGACGGTGTGTAAATCGCTGCCAAGTTGGAAATAAAGACCTGGGTGTGTGCCAAAGTGTTTCCTTAACCCTCGGCTGGCTGTGTTTGTGTGTGTGTGTGGACGGGGACAGATCAACTGCTTTATTGCATTTCCATCCCATCACACCCTCTTTAAAGGCCCTGAAAGCACTTCAGATGGATTATTTGTTGAAAAAAGCCATGCCTGGAATTCATTCAAAATTATTTTTGTGGCTATAGAAATTAAAACATGATAGTGTTCTAACATGTTTAAGGGGAAGAAAAGTGTTGCCCTGCATAAAAAATAAAAAAAGTTGTCTTGATGTTTATAGATGCAAGCCTACGCAAAAAATAACTTATAACTGCCTCCATGAGGAAAGGGATTACTAATACAATATTAATCTTAGGGGGATGCTTTTAAAGCTAAGATAATGTCATTTGAGCTTTTTAGGAACGGGAGGAAATTACTTTCTCATGACACTGCAACACTGAGTACCAGATAGACAAATAGTTCTTTAAATATACTGGATCAATTAATGATGGCTTGGACTAACTGGATTTTGTGAAATAAACAGGAGAGATAAACTAGAGATATTTTAAGACTGAGAAATGGTGAAGTTTTCAGTGCATTCTTCCACAAAATAATCCAAAACAAAACAGTAATGCTTCTGTTGCATTGTCTTCAATTCAGAGCCTTGGTGGCGCAGCAGACTAAAGCACTGTTAAGTAACACCAACTGCCTGCAGTTACTGCAAGTTCAAATCTCACCAGGCTCAAGGTTGACTCAGCCTTCCATCCTTTCGAGGTAGGTAAAATGAGGACCCGGTTTGTGGGGGCAATAAGCTGACTTTGTATAAAAAAGAACACGCTTGCGGGGGGCCGAAAGCCCTACTAAGTAGGTATATACAAAAGTATGAAGGCTATTGCTTAACACATTGTTAAGCCGCCCTGAGTCTCCGGAAAAGGGCGGCATATAAATCGAACCAATAAATAAATAAATAAATTCTTGATAACTTCATGTAGACATATAGTTTTCTTGGCATCAGTATAAAAAGAAGTCTATTATTCATCAGTAATAATGAAAACATCTGTAGACAATTGATGAGCAGGGCATATCTAGAACTAGTAGTCAGGATGAGTAAAAGGTGGAGACCAAAAGGCAGAGAATTATTGGTAGTGTGTGAGAGAAGGGATGATCCTTCTTTTCTTGATTCCAAGGGGATGGAAATGAATTGGATAACGTTAGTAAATTGGGTCAAGAAGACTCTGAACCTTTATATGAAATATAGCAATAGCACTTAGACTTATATACCGCTTCACAATGCTTTACAGCCCTCTCTAAGCAGTTTACAGTCAGCCTATTGCCCCCAACAATCTGGGTCTTCATTTTACCCACCTTGGAAGGATGGAAGGCTGAGTTTAGTGAGATTTGAACTGCCAAATAGCAGCCAGCCGGCAGTCAGCAAAAGTAGCTTGCAGTACTGCACTCTAACCACTGTGCCACCGTGGCTCATAAATATATATTACAGTTCACTGTATACAGTGGGAAAAGGAACCGCAGGCTTGCCAGGATATTCACCATACCTCAAGTGAATCCCCTCTTAGAACGGACCTTGGGGAAGATATGAAAGAGATGTGAAACAGGGACTTGGACAGGAAATTATACAGTCCAGACACTGAAGCAAGCATAAGAAAGAATCTCAAAATAATCCTGCTTTGATTTTGTTTCATATTAAGATGGAGTAGAAAGAAATCTAGACAGGCTTTCAAGATTTTGAAATTTTTGAATACTGAATGGATGGGAAAGAGGAATATGAACTAGAATGCATTCTGGGCTATCTCAAATCAGAGAAGTCACTGGAGAGGGAGAGAAATGACCATATTACACACTTTGCACAACAGTTCCATCTGATACTCCTGTACAAGTTCTGTCCTTGTGACCTGCTGTTGCTATTAATAGAGAATGAGCCAGAGGATGAAGGAGACTCCTTGTTGATTCCCAGGGTAAGCTGTCCCGTACTATTTGCGGGAACGGGAACGGGAAGAGGAGTGGGGGAATTTTACAGCTGACTCTTCGGTGACTTGTCCACTGACCTTGGTAAGATGCCAGGCCCATCTTCAGATGAGGAAGGAGGGATTCTTATCTCCCAGCCATAACAACCTGTCTGGCTCATCTTAGCAGTATCACTTATATACTGCTTCATAGTGCTTTTACAGCCCTCTCTAAGCAGTTTACAGAGTCAGCATATTGCCCTCAACAATCTGGGTCCTCATTTTACCCACCTCGGAAGGATGGAAGGCTAAATCAACCTTAAGCCTGGTGAGATTCAATCTGCCAAATTGCAGGCAGCTTGCAGTCAGCAGAAGTAGCCTGCAGTACTGCACTCTAACCACTGCGCCACTTTTACAAGAGATCTTCCTACAAGGGAGGGGAGGACCATTCTGATAGGGGAGGTGAAGTAAAGGAATTCAGAACTGATCTTGAAGAAGGTATGAAGAGCCAGTTATGCAGGGATTTGGGACACGTAATACGCAGTTCAGCAACTGAAGCACAGGTGAGAAAGAAAGTCAAAATAACTCCGCCTTGATTTTCTCCAACGTAAGGTGGAATAGAGAGAAATTTTGACTGGTTTTCAAGATTCTGTTATTGCGGTCCACAATAATAAAGCAACATTCTTAGAATCCCTGCTGCTTCTGTTTCTTGACCTGGCCTGTCTGGAAGGGCTGATACCTCTCTCCCTACTGACTTTAGCTAGTATTATAGTAAAATGAAAAATATGAAGCCATTGGAGAAGTCTATGGAGCTTAATCATAGGGTAGACAAAGAAAGCCTGCATTCTACTCCATGTTTAAAGGTACTAATGAGGAACATGGGAAAACACTCAGGCTACAGCTACTCTTATGTTCCATTATTAGGATCTCATATGTTTGTGTGGTAAAAAGTTATAACAACAAAAATAGTCATTGCAAATGGAGTTAGATGCAGCATTTCGGGGGGGGGAAGGGGGACCTACAGAAGGCTTACTTAATCATTTGCTCCATTGTCCCAAGGAATTTCTAGGGATCTGCGGTCTGTTGAAAGCCTCTAGGGAAATGTAGCTTGAAGAATAAAATTATAATTCCCACTCTCATCCATTAACCACAAAACTAAATGGCGCCAGCAACTGTGGGAGCTTGTGAAGGACAGGAGTCATGCTATAAAATGTTGCAGCTTCTGCTTCCCAATGTAAATAAACATTTCAGACGAGACAGAGGGGGTCTAGTTATAGTCCCATCTTCTTTCAAAATAACCGTTGCGTAAAAGGGTGAAGAGTGTGATACAGGCCACAAAGTGTTAACAGGAAATCACATCCTTCCAATTAGTATTTCAGACATTGCTGAAACATACAACTTTTGCCTTAGATCAGACTTGTGGACGGAATTGGTTGGCTGGGGAATTCTGTGAGTTGAAGTCCACAGGTCTTAAAAGTCGCCAAACTTGGACAACCCAGCCTTAGATGATCTTATGTCACATGAATATTATTCCTCCAAGATTTTGCCATCATATTGAGGCTAAAAACCTAACTATTTATAACACCATTATTTAAAATCTATTGGAAGAAGATGAGTAGTCATAAATTGCATCAATTTGTATCTGAAATGGAGTATTCAGGTATAGTTTTTTTTCCCCTTCAAAGTGACCAAAAATGAATCATGGGTAAGACAGAAGAGATCAAGAAAAGCAATATTTATGCGATACTTAAACTATAGAAGTCGGTATTTTACATTGTAATGTTGTGACTTATTTATTTAATCAATTTATATGTGTGACTCTGGGCAGCTCACAACGCATTAAAACCAAGGAAAAAAATGTTATCAATGAAACATAAGGTGCCAAAGCTAAAGTAATAAATCCAGTCCACATGGCTAAGACAACTGTGATGAAGTTCCTGGAGACAACTATCAAACGGACAGTTATAGAAAAGGACACCCATATAAATGACGTTGTTTCCCATCTGCATTCTTCTGCATTGCCCCATGAATTCTACAAAGCTATTTTTGTTAACATGCAACAAATAGCGAGAATCAAATTAAGTATTTATTTATACAGGGCTGTGAAGTTTAAAGCTCATTACGCTATTCAGGCATTCTCAGGAAAGTCCTATATTATTCTTGGAATTGGTGAGATAAAGCTGAGTGGCTCGTCATATGCATATGCTATGTTTATAGTCAAGGCAGGAAGATTGAACTGTTTTGTCCAGAGATTACATCCTTCACATTACTGGCTCTTGACTGTTTCCTTATAAGGGAACAATTCATGAACCCAAAGGTGTATAATAAGAGTGTCCTTTTCTGCACTCAATCTTCTGTAATTTGATTCTTCCCCTGCCCCAGAAATACAAGTGAGTTATTAATTAATTTTTCAGTAAGTCTGCCCAAGGCACATTCACTTTCTCTTGGTTAAGAACTTTGCTCCATGAATGCAAAGTGAAATGAAGAACTGATTTGTTTCCATAAAGTGCTTTCCAGCCTCAACAAACTTTTGCAGTAGCTAGAAGTGGCCTCTACTGACTGCAGCTTCCTAAAAAGTGAAGTAACCATTTGCTGTTAGATGTGAGAAGTTATCACTTCCTGAAGCAGTTTTAAAGAGCTGATTCACTCAAATACTCCCCAAAGCAAAGCATCTTTTTGAAAGTTTGCGTAGAAACCTTATATTTTGGCGATACAAATTTCAAATAGGAGGCATGAGCCAGATGGCAAAATATTCAAATTCCCATTTGAGGAAGGGCACCATAGATAGATATATTAGAATATCAGTTTGATCTTAAATCATGTCCATGCCATGTAATTTCATGGATATTTAGTTTCAATCACTCCCCACTTCTCAATACTACTCACCCCTGGTATTTGATGACATTTCCAGCAGGTAGCTGATTTATCTTTAAACATTTTTGCTAACTTCTCCGGTGGTATATGCCATCTATAAAACATTTTATATTGATTTTCCTTATATGCATATTATATATATCATCAAATACCAGGATCTTATTATCATATGTGGTGGACCTGTTCTGAAGAAAAAAGTTACTGGTACAAAATTAAAATCTGGTTGGAAGAAATGATACAGCAACGTATTGAATTTAAACCAGAGTTGTTTTTACTGGGTATCTTTCCAGAAAAAAATAGTAAGGAAAATGTATACTTGATTATACATGTAATAACAGCTGCAAGAATTGTGTATGCTCAAAATTGGAAATCAGAGAAAATACCTTTGGAAGAAGAAGTAATAAAAAAAAATCTTAGATTGTGCAGAAATGAATAGATTAACCTTGATGATTAAGGATAAGGAAGAATCAGAATATTTTAAGACATGGAATCATTTTTATAGTTGGTTGGAAAAGAGATATAAATGACCGATATCATAACTATAAATGATGTATAAATGATGATCACAACATAATTTTAGCAATGAAATGTTAGAATGGTTTGGACGAAGATGAAGATAGAAGAAACTTATGGAAGATGGAGAAGAAGCCCAGAAGATAACACCGAGATGTCACAGGGAAGGGAGGATAGATGTATTAAATGTTTGTTTATCTTAAAAAATAAAAAAAAATTACTGAAAAAAAAATATTACTCACCCCACATTTAGATGATCAACAAGGGCTTCTGTTAAACAAGTTGCTGCAGCAATAGCTTCTCGCCGCCGCCGTTCTAGAAAGAAAAGCAAATGTCTCTTCTATGATATCATTAAAGTCAACATGTCTGTGAAATGACTCTACATCACATTCTTGGCACAGTTTTCATGTTATGTCCTTCGTCTCACTGTACATTAAATTATCTGTTTGGAATATTAAGGTTCCTTGTTTAGTAGAGTATTGATTTTGTATAATATCCATTTCAATAATTTAAGACAGGCCTCAACCACGAACATGCCTCAGGAATTGTTTTTTAATGCCATGTCCTCATGATATTGTTTCTTTCCTCAGCTCGCATCTCAAACAATTCAAAGCCATTTTTAGTTGATCTAGCTGTAAACTAGTGGATTCTCACACAAATTTAATCAACCATATTATTGCTTATTTAATCAAGGCTTGGGATGGGCCCTACTGTTTACCATTTGAGAATGGTACAAGCATCTGTTCTGTTCACACAGGCTTCTTATAAATATGAATTTGAAAGAGAGTAGCCTGTTTTTTAGTTTTTTTCACGTGACTTATGACCATTTTCCACACTTACAATTTTGGTAATCCCCACAGTCACATGATCATGCTTGACAACTGGTATGTATTTATGATGGCTATGGGGCCCAGGGTCATATGATATTTTTGCGACCTTCTGACAAGCAAAATTAATGGGGAAGCCAGAATCACTTAACAATTATGTTACTAACAACTGCAGTGATTCATTTATCAGCTGTGGCAAGAAAGGTCGGAATATGGAGCAAAACTCACTTAACAATTGTCTTGCTTAGCAAAAAAAATTTTGGCCTCAATTGTGGTCACACATCAAGGACTGTAGATGGAAGGTTGCTTTAAATTGGGAAAGAACCAATTTTTTAATTTTTATCCCACCTTTATTTTTCTTACAAACATTTGTTTATGTAACTGTTCGAAGTTACAATGGCACTGAAAAAAAGTGACTTATGACCATTTTTCACATACAACCACTGCAGCATCCCCATAAGTCATGGGATCAAAATTTAGATGCTTGAAAGCTGGTATGTATTTATGATGGTTGCAGCGTCCTGGGATCATATGGTCCCCTTTTGTGACCTTCTGATAAGCAAAGTCAATGGGAAGCCAGATTCACTTAACAATCAGGTTACTAAGTTATCAACCGCGGTGATTCACTTAACTGTGGCAAGGAAGGTCGTGAAATGTGGCAAAACTCACTTAACAAATATTCTCACTTGACAACAGACATTTTGGGGTCAATTGTGGTTGTAAGCCAAAGGCCACCTATACAGGTACTCCTTGACTTACAACAGTTCACTTAATGACCATTCAAAGTTACAATGGCACTGAAAAAAGTGACTTACAACCATTTTTCACACTTATGACCGTTGCGATAGCCCTGTAAGTCACATGATTCACATTCGTATGGTTGACAAGTGACTCAAATTTATGATGGTCACAGTGTCCCAGAGTCATGTGATCTTCTTTTGGGACCTTCTAACAAGCAAAGTCAGTGGGGAAACCCAGATTCCCTTAAAAAACCCTGTTACTAATTGAAGAACCGCAGTGATTCACTTAAACAACTGTGTGCTGAGAAAAGTCGTAAAATGGGGCAAAATTCACGGAACGAATTCCTCACATTTTTTTATTTTATTTTATTTTATTTTATTTTATTCAATTTCTATATCGTCCTTCTCCCGAAGGACTCAGGGCGGTGAACAGCCACAAGATAAAACACAGAAGTACAAAAATTTAAAATAGATTAAAAACGAATTAAATAATTTGGCTGAATTTAAAATACCCCATAATTTAAAAACAAATTAAAATTTACATTTAAAAAGGGGAGAAGATTTAGGCCAGGCCAGCTTGATGAAATAAAAAAGTCTTAAGCGCGCGACGGAAGGTGCGCAGATCCGGGATCCTCCGTATCTCCGGGGGGAGCTCGTTCCAGATCGTAGGTGCCCCCACAGAGAAGGCTCTCCCCCTAGGGGCCGCCAGTCGACATTGTTTGGCCGACGGCACCCAGAGGAGCCCCTCTCTATGGGAGCGTACTGGCCGGTGGGAGGCTATTGGTGGTAGCAGGCGGTCCCGTAGATAACCAGGTCCTAAGCCATGGAACGCTTTAAAGGTGATAACCAGAACCAGAACCACATAGCAACATACATTTGGGGCTCAATTATGGTTGTAAGTCCATAATTTACTTATGTATATATGTATGTATTATTAAATTATTTATTTATTTATTAAATAAATATTTATTTTTGTTTATTTATTAAATATGTACGCCTCCCTTCTCACTCTCCAGAGCGACCCTAACCAGGCAGTATCAGGCTAGCTAGCCCATAGTTCACACCACACAAAACTATCCATCCTTGGGGTGGGGGGGGGGAAAAGGTTCTCCCAAGCGGCAGGTTCCAATGTAGTTTGAAGGCGTCGTGTCGTCAGAATTACAGCCGCAGCCACGCTCAAATGACACTTTCCGAAAAGCCGGGGTTTTTTTTAATTATTATTATTATTACGCGCCGAGCCACGAAAGCCTCGTCTCGTTACCCCCCAACCCGGCCCTCCTCTCCCCGCAACCTTTCGCTCCCAGAAGAGCTGAAAGGCGGCGACGCCGCGGCGTTTTGCTGGGGAGAGGGTGGGGTGGGGTGGGGGGGGGCGAATGGGGAGCCAGGCTTTTTCCCGAGGCTCCCCCGGCCGCTCACCTTGCAGCTCCTTCCGCTCGCTCTGCTTGGCCTGGTGCTCCCGTAGCAAGCGGGAGAGCATGGCCGTCCCGGGGAGAGCGAGAGAGCACCGAAGCGCCCAGTCTTCCCCTCGGCCTTCCTCCTTGTCAGATGACTCCGGCGCTCACGTGTGAGCTGCTGGGCGGTGCTGGGAAAGCTCGGTGTCGGCGGGAGTCTCTGCTGCGGGAGTCTTGCTACGCTCTCTCGCTCTCTCCCTGTCCGATGGCTGGCTGCTAGCATTCTTCGGGGAATGCTGCATCGGTGGCACGTCTGCCAGTCACGCCGGCGTTAGCAGCAAAGAATTTTCCCGCCTCTTTGAAGTGATTCTCATCGACTCTAGACACTGCCAGCTCCTCTCTCTTTCTCTTCCCCCTCTCTCTTTCTTCATTGCTTGCTTTCTTCCTTTCCTTTCTTCCTCCCTCCCCCTTTCCCCTCCCTCCTTTCCTTCCCTTCCTTCCCTCCCTCATCCAATGTAATGGCAAGAGTCAAGAGATCTTCAGTTTTGGCATTCATCCGCTTAGGCGACAAAAATGTATCTGAGGGCGTGTGCATGTGTTATTTTGTTTTCTTTTATTTTGTGGGGTTTTTTGGGGGGGGTGGGGGAGGGAGTTTCAGTTAGAGTCCCTGGACCAGTCCCTGCAATTTTCTTGGCAAGGTTTTCAGAGGTGGTTTGCCCTTGCTTGCTTCACCTGCCGAGAGAGAATGATTGGCCCAAGGCCACCCAGCTGGTTTTGTGCCTAAAGCAGGACTAGAACTCCCAAGTCTCCTGGTTACTAGCCTGTCTTAATCAGTGCGCCAAACTGGGTAATTTAAGGCTTTAGCCTGGGATATATTTGTCCCAAGGATACTCCCCCCAATTTTTATTATTTATTTATTTGTATAGAGGCATATTTATACATTTTCCTGTTCTGTAACTTCCTACTCATTTCTTATTTTTATGTGGCTAAGTGGGTGAGGGGAATTTGCTCGCAACAATTACAGGTAGTCCTTGACCTACAACAGTTCGTTTAGTGACCATTCAAAGTTGCACCGGCACTGAAAAAAGAGACGTATGACTGTTTTTCATACTTATGAGCATTGCAGCATCCCCATTGTCACATGATTTACCTTCAGACAGCAGTAGCACTTAAACTTATATATCGCTTCACAGTGCTTTCCCAGCACTCTCTAAGCAGTTTACAGAGTCAGCCTATTGCCCCCAACAATCTGGATCCTCATTTTACCAACCTCGGAAGGATGGAAGGCTGAGTCAACCTTGAGCCAATGAGACTCGAACTACCAAACTGCTGGAAGCTGGTAGTCAGCAGGATTAGCTGCAATGTTGCATTCTAACCACTGCGCCACCATGACTCTTGATAACTGGTTCATATTTATGAAGATTGCAGTGTCCTGGAGTCATGTGATCACCTTTTGCGACCTTCTGACAAGCAAAGCCAATGGGGAAGCCAGATTCACTTAACAACCGTGTAACTAATTTAACAACTGCAGTGATTCATTTAACAAATGTGTATAAAGGTTGTAAAAAGGGGCAAAACTCACTTAACAAATTTCTCACTTAACAACATAAATTCTGGGCTCAGTTGTGGTCATAAATTGAGGACTACCTGTACTGTAATAGATCCATTTATCTAAAAAACTAATATGGGCTTCGCATGTGCAAACAATACTTAGATATTTTATTATTGCATTTACAATGGCAAAAAACTCACTCTTGATAGGATACATCCATAGAGTGTGCGGTATCTAGACAACAAATCAAAAATATATTACGGGAAATATCTGAAGCGAGCCTCTCCCATATATTGTAGATTAAATCTGTACTTCAGTTAGATCATAAGGGGAAAAGCTAATATCTCATGTTATCCCTCAGTTTATCTTGCAATAAAAATATACAACTTCTGTTATTTACTGATAATTTGCAATTTACCTCATGTGCATGAATCATTCGACAGATGATGAATTAACAGTAAATAATTTTAAGAGGCTGGCTGTAATTAGAACATGCGGGAATGAACTTGGCTGTTCTTATTAAAAGAACATTAAATTAAGAATTACTGGTAGGGCCTTGTCACAGTGTAACAGAGAGAAGATGATTAAACAAAATATGATACAGCATCTGAACTCACTGAATTCAGATGCCATATCATATTTTGCTTAATCACAGAATGATGAGTTATTGCTGGTAATCAGAGCTGGATCAACTGAATTTAGGTGAAAAGAAGTTGTGAGCTCTTGTTGGCCCAGATATAGAAAGGAATCAGAAAAATAGAAGATGAATTCAAAAATTTTACTTGCTAGGGGAAATGGTACATTGATACCTGCATCATGTTGGATGTGAAAGCCTTGAGGCAGACATTTCTATCTAAAATAAATTGAAAATGTCTCACAGATTTTAGCTGAACGTTCTTGAAATTGTTGCTTGAGAAAATGACCATTCCGTATGATACTTCCTGACCTGAGTTGTATCCAATTGTTATTCTTGCCCTCTTCTTCCATATCTTTGCTTTTATCTGCAAGGTTTTCTTATCCCTACAGAAACGACACACCTACTTTCATGTCCTTACACCAAAGCCTTCATCTTGTTGGTAGCGTGCCACTGAGATAGCTAAAGTTACGTTGCAATGAAAATCGTGTTTTCCAACTTGTGGCAGCAGAAGCCTTTTCATGGAAAATTGAATGTACGTAAAGGAGTAGAAGAGGCTGGGTTCCATCATCCACCCCGATCTAACCGCCTCTGAGACTGCCCCCTCCCTTCAGGAGGCTTGGGCCTGTCCTTTTTTATCTTTCTCCGGTCTTATTTTGGGGGAAACACGGTAGAACTGCTGAAATCCTCTTGAAAGGATAAGCCAGCCCATTAAGGACTCTTTTGAACACATTTTCAAATGCGATCTTCATTTTCCTTCCCTGTGGATTAACTCTTTCTGCCTCCCACAGTGTTTCTCCATTGTCACATCCTTCTCTTTGCTCGGCTCTATGCACTTATTTCCCCATGCATACTATAATCTCATACAGACATACTTTGTATTCCAACAGAATTGCCATGTTTGGTAATAAAGAGCTCAACTCTTTACAGTAGTCAGCAAGACGATTGCCTTTTAGCTGGTTCTAAATGCACTTCTAGCAAGAACAAAATGCATTGTATAAATCCTTGTTATTCTTATTTTCTCCAAATGAAAGATGGGTATATATTCCTTTTAGGATGGACGCAGATTTTTTTTGTTATTGTTCTACTTTATAAGTAGGGCGAGGGTTTTTTTTACAATGTAAATGCCAACTTCCAAATTAGGCTTAAAAATACATTTTGGGAATAGCATTTTTGGAACAATTAAGATGCAGGCAGGAGGTATCCTCAATTTACAACCACAATTGAGCCCAAAATTCTATTGCTAAGTGAGAAATTTGTTAAGTGAGCTTTGCCCCATTTTACGACTTTTCTTGCCACATTTGTTAAGTGAATTACTGCAGTTCCTAAATTAGTAACACAGTTAAGTGAATCTGGCTTTCCTATTGACTTTGCTTGTCAGAAGGTCGCAAAAGGGGATCATATGACTCCAGGTCCCTGCAACTGTCATAAATGTGAGTCAGTTCTCAAGCATCCGAATGTAAATCACATGACCATGGGGATGCTGTAAATGGTCATAAGTGTGAAAAATTTTCATAAGTCATTTTCAGTGCTGTTTTAACTTCGAGCTGTCACTAAATGAACTGTCGAGGATTACCTGTGTAATGTACAAGGGGAAAATAATTATGCCCCTACTGGTCCACCAAAAAACCTCTCTCCACAGAACTGGTCCCTAGTGCCCAAAAGGTTGGCCGCTGGTTTAATCTACTACAGTATATCTTGAAAGAGGCAAAGAGTGATGGGACAGCCTCGTTCCCCCTTTAGAATGACAATAGAAATAGATTTGTTGGCTGGCAGCCTGTCAAACTTTCACCTTCAACTCTTTGAAGATCAAACAGACAGTTTGGCTATGTGTCAAATGAACAGTCTAAATGAAAGTTGAGTTTTCTAACTGACTGACTGCAAGAAAGGTTTTAGAAGTAACAAAATCTTCTAAACAAGGAATTATTATTTGCGTACTTTTCGCCGCGCCCTTAAGACCTTCCTGTTCCAGCAAGCCGGACTGGCCTAATATGAATTTTATTATGGATGTATGTGTGTTTTAAATTTGCGGGCCAATTTTATATACTGATTTAAATTTGGTTTTAAATTTTATAAATCTATGTGTTTTAATATGGCTGTACACCGCCCTGAGTCCTTCGGGAGAAGGGCAGTATAGAAATCTAATAAACTTAAACTTAATTTGTTAACTGAGTCCCTGCAGTTGTTAGGAACACTGTTGTTAAATGAATCTTTTTTTTTTTTTAATTTGATTTATATGCCGCTCTTCTCCGGAGACTCAAGGCGGCTTACAATGCGTTAAGCAATAGCCTTCGTACTTTTGTATATTTATACAAAATCAGCTTATTGCCCCCACAAACTGGGTCCTCATAGAACTAATGCAGGGGGCTCACATTCCTATCTATTAGTGTCATTAGGTTTCTTTGCATAATCCAGTTTTACTTCTGCGATTATCGCTGGTACCAGAAGCCAGCAATCTTGTGTACCTTCACTTGCAGCTAAGTTCAAGTGCATTTCATAAGACTTATTTATGTGCTCAAAAGCCCTGGCTAGCTATGAATTTCTTCTGAAAAAAGTAGATACTGACATTATCTAATCTGATGCTGTCCAGATGTATTTAGACTGTAATTTTCTTTGATTATGTAGCTAGCTAGGAATTCTAAAAACTGAATCCAACACAGTTGTTCAGTAGCAGGAAAGGGTAGCCTAGCATAAATTCATAGCACATTTCAATTGAACATATAGCAAATCAAAATGTAAAATAATAGTGTGTATTGTAGAACATATTAAATGAGATTATTTAAGGACCCTTTGACATTGTTTTCTTTGCTTGAACTAAGTCCTGGATATTTTGAAATGCCTGCAATATTTGCTTTCTTAAAAGTACCTTCTTTTAAACTTAAAAGAATTATAAATTAAAAAAAAATATCCAGCAAAATGATCCAGCAATGCTGTTAAATCGAAGTCCAGTCATTTCAGCAAACCCTATTGCAAATCTCGACATTGCTGTTCGGCTGTGCTTCATAAATCTGGTCTGTATTTATAATTATCCAACCTGTCCCAAGATCCTCCCAGAAGGGCAATTTAAAGAAATTACCAAGTGGATATTCTAAACTAGAATATTTGCAGTTGAGTTGCCTGATATAGTGCAACACATCTATTTAGAGCTTGGGAGCAGCCTGACCATTGGAGAACTGCAAGAATAAAGACATATATTCCCTGGGATTATCAGAAGAAACTGGGACCTTTCCCAACTGGTGCTTATGACGTCCTCACAGTGGTTTAACTGAACCGGAGCAAAAACTGGGAGACAGCTATGTAGCCAAGAGAAGAAGCACTCGTGTCAAGAGACCAGGCACTAAAATGGAGGTAGAAGATAAGTCCTCAAAGGCATGGATGGATCCATATCTTCAGCCCAACAAAGAAGTCTCGTGAATGGTACAAAAGCCCATCCCACTAACAGCAGAACAGGGTCCTGAGAGACGAACAACTTCCAAGTTCCTGTGACATTTGTGCAGCACTCCACCGCTGTGTCCTGCCAATGTTCTGGACTCTCAGAGATGTGGTGCCTCTGCCAATACTCCAACGTCCCTTAAAACTTTCACAGCTATTTAAAAATAGCCCTCACGTCCTGGAAAATATGATGGATGCTTTTCCTCCTGCCAGAGGCTCATCATGTAAGGGTTGAGGTTTTTTATTTATCTATTAAGGAAATGTATAGGGCTACCCATGTTAAGCAAATAACTCTGGGTAACTAACAATGTGAGCCAATACTGTATAAAGCAACAAAAATGCATTTTAAAATAAACTTGGTAAATATAAAATGCAAATGTCCTAGGATCTCACACATAACTCCCAGTCCCAAATGCACATATATTAGCCTTGGCTAGCAACCAGTCCTAGTATCTGAGGAAAAAGCTAGATTTTCCCCCCAGCTTTTTATTTTTATTTAATTATTTTCATCAAGCATGTATTAGATAACAGATATAAATATAAACATGATTATGAATATATGAAATGGATACGAATAAATGGGAACATTAGGACAGGGACAGTAGGCATGCTGGTGCACTTATGCACACCCATTAAAGACCTCTTAGCAGGGGTGAAATCCAAAATTTTTCCCTACCGGTTCTGTGGGCATGGCTTGGTGGGCATGGCAGGGGAAGGATATTGCAAAATCTCCATTCCCACCCCACTCTGGGGCCAGCCAGAAGTGGTATTTGCTGGTTCTTCAAAATTTCCACTACCGGTTCTTCAGAACCTGTTAGAACCTGCTGGATTTCACACCTGCCTCTTAGGAATGGTGTTAGGTCGACAGTAGACAGTCTAAGGTTAAAATTTTGAAGGTTTGGTTAAAGTTTTGGGCTTTCTGGAAGGTGAATAGCATCAGGGTCACTATTGTTGCTTTCCATTTTGAAATGTTTATAGGCAGTCCTCGGATAACTTAGTGTAACCTAGGCTGGCCTCACATCTCTTTGTCAAGGCTCATGCCTACCTGTACAAGTCTGATGGCCCTCAAACCATTAAATTGCACTGATACATCCCATTCAGAATGATTTTTTTCTGGGATCCTAGATTTAGGAGTCTACACAAGCAGATCCCTGGGATTCTTAAACTCTTGATGGTTATGATTCCAGAGCTGGCTATTTGCATTCTGCAGGAACCGACAGCACCCATCCTGTATTCCTCCCAGAGAGTAGTCTTATATGTCAGAATATCCTGGAGCTTTTAATAGTCAAAGCAGAAGCAAACTTAACATCTCTCTCTTTCCGATGGAATTCCTTGGGGAAAATGTCCTTCATTATTTTGCTTCTCATTTCCCTCTTGAAAACTGACATTGTTGGGTGGCGTCCAGGAACAGATCTGCCTTGGAAGCTTCTATTGTTTGCTTATAATTTCAGTTGCTGAGGCTGTCCACTTACTGAAAACTTTCGGTGGTTCACAGAGGATCAAAAGCAATTAGAAAAAAAAAAAAACCAGAAAACAACCCAGAAAGTCAGAATGACCAAGGAAACACTTAATTTCTTCACATTTAATAGTTTAAAATCATGTTGCCGGACACTTGTATAACTGTCATATAAATGAAATGCAATGGAGAAAATAAATCTAACAAATCAAATGTACCCTTTCCTTTCCTGTTTTCTTGGACATGACCAGGGCCAAACTCTTTGACTAATCTCATCAGACACAAATTAACCCATCTTGCCCCAAAGTCCTGCAATTCCATCTAAACCAAATAAGAAAAGCCTCCCAATCAGCTCAAGGGCAGCAAAAGAATTGAAACCTAGAGAAATCCCAATGTGCATTGTCCATTAGTTGATCATCTCCGACATTCCATCTTTTTAACAAGGGATCTCCTCAGCTCTGCTGTTCTCATGAAAGGCCTGTTTTGCCTAACAAAACCAGGTATGCAGACAAGGATCTGTCTAGAAGAGAAATAAAGATGATTAGGGAATGGAAGATTAAAACATGAAGAGTGATTGTAGGAATTGGGTATGTCTAGTTGAATGAAAAAAAGGACTAGGGGTGACATGATAGCAGTGTTCCAATATCTAAGTGGTTGCCACAAAGAAGAGGGAGTCAAACTATTCTCCAAAGCACCTGACAGCAAGACAAGAAACAATGGAAGGAAACTAATCAAGGAGAGAAACAACCTAGACCTAAGGAGAAATTTCCTGCCAGTGAGAACAATTAATCAGTGGAGCAACTTGCCTCCATAAGTTGTGGATGCTCCAACACTGGAAGTTTTTAAGAAGAGATTGGGCAACCATTTCTCTGAAATGGTATAGGGTTTCCTGCCTGAGCAGGAGCTTGGACTAGAAGACCTCCAAGTCCCTTCTAACCCTGTTATTCTTGTCGTAAATCAAGGACTACCTGTGTGACCTCTGCTAAATTCTGGGAGGACGTAAATTATCATCTCAATTAGTTATAATCTCAACTAGCTTCCCCATACTGGCCAGCAATCAAATCGCTAGGATTTCCTACCATGGGTCTTTCAACTTCTATAAAAAAACACCTCTGCTTTTCTGTTGTTTAGAGTTCCTTTCCTGTAAAGCAGGCACTTAACCATTGTTGCCATAAACATAGTTCTTCTCAGTGTTGTGCTTTTTCTTCAGACTGAAGCCACAGCACAAATAAATTGGTTTATACTTAATTCAAGTAAATTTCCATATTGTTGCCTTGACCCAGGCAAAGAGCCTGGACTGATTCTCCCATTGGTTTGGTGCAGAGCTACAAAGCAAGCAGTTCCATGGGATGTATTGATATATTGAGTGATTGATATATTGATTGATTGATTTGATTGATTTACTAAATAATTTGCTGCCCATCTTGTAATGAAATGATTCTGGATGACTTACAGTATAAAAGCATTTAAGGAGGCTTATGTTCAGATAAATATAAGGATTGTACTTTTCCAAGGTTTATGGTGGGTGCTAGGTTTCCTTAAAAAGAAAATTAGAGGGATTTATTTTGTAAATTCTAGTCCTGCTTAATAGAGCTACACACTTCTATATCTGTGGCTATGCAGTTGCTGGTGTCTGAGTCTGATTATTTGCTTGCAGATATGTCATTAATTTAATTAATACTATCAATGCTAGTGAGTGTGGGGTTTGCAGTCTGTTTATATATAGTAGCTTGCCCTACCAGTTTTTTTTGGGGTGGGTGGGCATGGTTTCCTCCTTGGTGATTCCTTAATAAAGTAGTGCTTTCTACCTGATCGTTTGTCTGGTGTTCATCCCTGCTTATCTGATCAGTCTGGAGAGGAAGCATTTCAGCCTTTTGCTTGAAAAGGTACAGGAATGAGAAAAAATAAGCCACAGGTCTCAATATACAGGTAGTCCTTGATTTACAACAGTTCATTTAGTGACCATTCAAAGTTACAATGGCACTGAAAAAAAGTGATTTATGGTCATTTTTCACACGTACGACCATTGCAGCATTCCCATGGTCACATAATCAAAATGTGGATGCTTGGCAACTAGTTCATATTTATAGATGGTTGCTGTGTCCTATGCCCTGATCACCACTTCTGACCTTCTGACAAGCAAAGTCAATAGGAAGCTGGCTTCACTTCACGACTGGGTTATTAACTTAACAACTGCAATGATTCATTTAACCACTGCGGCAAGAAAAGTAGTAAAACAGGACAAAATTCCCTTAACAGATGTTTCATTTAGCAACAGAAATGTTGGGCTCAATTTGGTCACAAGCTGATGACTTCCTTGCATATTCCAAGCCGCCACTTGGAATATGCAAGGAAGTCAGTGGTGAAATCCAAATTTTGTTACTACCAGTTCTGTGAGCGTGGCTTGGTGGGCGTGGCAAGGGAAGGATACTGCAAAATGTCCATTCCCATCCCACTCCAGGGGAAGGATATTGCAAAATGCCCATTCCCACCGCAATCTGGGGCTGGCCAGAGGTAGTATTTGCCAGTTCTCCAAAGTACTCAAAATTTCCGCTACCAGTTCTCCAGAATCTGTCAGAACCTGGTGGATTTCACCCCTGAAGAAAGTCCTTTGGAAAGCACCTCTGGGACAACCATAACTGAGATTTGGGTTGCCAATAGTGGGCAAGGAGGAGCTTGGAAGTCCTCTATCATCCATCGTCAAAAGAGAAAATGTTGCCAATAGTATAAAAAAATAAAATAAAGGAGTATAAATCCTTCCATTCCCTTCCATCCAGTCAGAGCTGAAGAAAGCTTCTTGCACGACAAGGGAAACGTCTTCAAAGAGAAAAAAAAATCAGAAAGTCCCGTTGCCTCTTGAAAAAAAGCACCTTTGGGACAACCATGACTGAGATTTGGGTTGCCAATGGTGGGCAAGGAGGAGCTCTTTCTTGCGTCACTGGGTGGCAGTCAGGTTCCTCCAGGGTCTTTTTAACGGGGTTCCCTTTGGACCTCGTGTTTAATAGCGGCCCACCCGGATCGCGCGGCCTGGGCGCGGGATTCACAGCACCTGCTTCCCCAGCTCTCCGCTCCCTCGTGTCCTAGAGCGGAGAGGGCGTGTTTGTTGTGGGAGCGCGGGGCTCCGCCCAGCGGCACTCCAGAATGGATGAGGGAAAGAGAGCCCGCGCGCGGGCGGGCGAGGTTGCCTCGCCTCGGGAGTTTGGTTACATGCCGAGGTTGGCCGGCCTTCGGGCAGCGCAGAGGGCGAGCCAAGGCCCGTGACTGAGGCGGACAGCTGGCAGCAAAGCCTCTCCGAAGGGGACGGCGGGCTGCGAAGCTCTTTGGAGCCGCGGTGGCTCTCGCCGGGCTCGCCTTGCAGTTGTTGCTGCTGCGACGCCTCGCAGGATGTTTGGGGCGCTGGATTTTCGCCTCTTGTGCCTCCTCCTCAGCCTTTGCTTCTGGGGGAATTCCGCCTTCAACCTGGATGTCGCCGAGCCCGTCGTCAAGCGGGGAGAGAACGGCAGCTTCTTTGGCTTCTCCGTGGCATTGCACCAGCAGCTTAGTCCGCAGCCCATCAGCTGGTAAGTCGTGTGTCCCCGTCCGCCCCCCACCCCCCCCCCCCACACGCCGGCTTCCAGGACGGGAGGTTTAGATGCTGATCCCGGGGACAAGCCCGAAAAGAGGATGGTCTCCCTGGGAGGACGATCTGGAGTCACAAGAACGAGGCGATCAAACTTTTCGCCTGATAATTTAATATCAGCACGATCGCGCATCTTTCCGGGAGTCTTCTGAATTCAGGTTTTCTCGGGATCTTCTTGAGCTTGAACGCCGCTCGTGTAAATTCATCAATCCCTTGCCTAATTTTTTTTTTTTAATTTGATTTATATGCCGCCCTTCTCCGAAGACTCAGGGCGGCTTACAATGTGCTCAGCAATAGTACCCTGGCTATTGCAATAAAAAAAACACAAGCTGATTCTGGGTGTAAAATACGTGGAATATACAATCGGTGATATTTCCTTTGCTAATGCCTCCGGTTTTGGCAGTAGGAGGAGGACGACCAAATTAAGAGCAATTTGTTTCCTTTCAGCGGTCCCGTGGTAGATATTTGTTATTTTGTTTTTTAAATTCCAATGCAATTTGGGTACATCATCTACAGGGTGTGAAAGTTAGATCCATTGAGCCAGTGGTTACATTCTCCACAGCCCTACCCTAAATATTTTTAATATTTCCATAGAGGGAAGGGAATCCTTGATCTTGATGGGTGTGTTGTCAGAGTTTGCATTATTTTGGTGATAATTGAGTATCTTCATAGGTTTTTTTTTAAACCTTACCTTACAGCCCCTTCCCACAAACTTACTGTTTTCCCTAGTTAAATAGATTCCCTAGCGTATTATGAGATGTTTTCTTTTTTACGCTTATAAACTGATTTTTTGGGGGAAATGAATCTTTCTTCTTCCTGCTTGAGACCGGAAAGATGGACTTCTGACAGATGCCGTTGTCTTATTCAGTGCTAAGGGAGCTGAATCATTGCTGAAGGCAATGTTTTCTTTGCCAGGACTATATTCCTAGTTAGCTCCTGGCTACAGCAATTCTGACTACTGCTTTGCAGGGAGTAAATGCAGAAGCACTGAAATGGCAAGAAAGAAAGAAAGAAAGAAAGAAAGAAGAAAGAAAAAAGAAAGAAAAAAGAGAAAGAAAGAAAGAAAGAAAGAAAGAAAGAAAGAAAGACAGAGAGAAAGATCTCGAGAGAAAGAAAGAAAGAAAAAGAGAGAGAAAGAAAGAGAAAGAGAGAGAGAAAAAGAAAAAAGAGAAAGAGAGAGAAAGAAAGAGAGAGAAAGAAAGAAAGAAAAAGAGAGAAAGAAAGAGAGAAAGAAAGAAAGAGGGAAAGAAAGAAAAGAGAGAAAGAGAGAGAAAGAAAGAGAAAGAGAGAGAGAAAGAAAGAAAAAAGAGAAAGAAAGAGAAAGAAAGAGAGAGAAAGAAAGAAAAAAGAGAGAAAGAGAAAGAGAGAGAGAGAGAAAGAAAGAGAGAAAGAAAGAAAGAAAGAAAGAAAGAAAGAAAGAAAGAAAGAAAGAAAGTCAATGTCTTACAGAAGCAAGGGGCCATGCACTCAGGGAAGTCTGCTGAGATTCCCCCCTTGGAGCAGAAATCAGAGGCGAAGATGACCCTGTGATCTGAATAGGAAAGCCAGATCATGATTGTATGAACCTGTCAGCTGGGTGGTTTTGCACATGCATTAGGAGATCTTGGGGATGGCATCATAGGAGGCCTCTGGTCCCCAAAGGGTGGAGGGAGAGTATCTTCCTTCAGTTAGAAAGAGTGGAGGGAATTCTTCAGACTCTCTGAAGTGTTTGGTTTCTTCCATGCTTGGTTTCTCTGGGGATATTGTGACCTAGGATCTGTTTCCCCTGTAATGTTGCGGTGAGGCTACTGACAAAGTGAAGCTTATAATTGCTTTGCCTGCAGCTTTTAGCCCTTGCTCTTTAAGAGGCCGCTGAAGATCACTTCAGTCCTACTGAACTTTCCATGATGGCCTCATTCACCTTCCTTCCTGGAAATGTTGCTCAGTTTTTTTTCCTTACTGGTAGTGGTTGTCAGCTTCTTGGACTCTATTGTCTTGTTTTCCTATAATAGTAGTGGTACAATATATATATATATATTTAAATAGCATTTGCAGTCAGGTCTAGTCTATCAGCAACCTTTGCAAACAGGAAAAGTGAAGGACAAGTCACCTCGAACTGTGAGATGGGTGGCATAAACTGTAAATTTAATAAATAAATAGTAAAAGAAATTGTCTTGGAAAGGTAGGCTACGAACGGCTGTGGCTAATTCTGGAACTTAAATAATATTGTATTAGAATCTTGGGCTTCCACAATTTCTTCAAGAGTAGCTTGAAGCTACCAAAATGTAACTGCTTTCCAAGATGTGATTCTAGTGATGGAGAAATGAACTACAGATAATCCTTAATTTACAGCCATTGTTTGGTGACTGTTCAAAGTTATAATGGCACTGAAAAAAGTGACTTTGTTTTTCACACTTATGACCATTGCAGCATCCCCATGGTTACATGCTCAAAATTCAGATGTTTGGCAGCTGGCTCATATTTATGATGGTTGCGGTGTCCCAGGGACATATGACCTTTTGCAACCTTCTGACAAAGTCAATGGGAAAGACAGATTCACTTAACAACCATGTTATTACATAACTGCAGTGATTCACTTAACAACTTCGGCAAGAAAGGTCGTAAAATGGGGCAAAACTTACTTAACAACTGTCTTGCTTAGCAACAGAATTTTGGGGCTTAATTTTGCTCGTAAGTCGAGGACTACCTGTAGTTGTCTTACTAGCACTCAACATTATGGCCTAAGGGTAGAAAGGTTCTTTAACACTAGGTTACCATGTCATTCGTGGATGTATTTGATAGCTTTAAATCTCATTTCTTCATCTATATATGGAAATATTTATGATTCAGTAGCAGGATTCAAAAGACAAATGTAGACAGGAAAGTACTTTGCAGATTAACAATGCCCCTATGAATGACTGATAATTAGGGAAGACAACATTTATAAACATTGAGCTCACTGCATTTTATAGATAGTTCCCAGATAAACTCATATGATAGCAGTTAAAAGTCTGCCAATCTTCTGAAGCAGGACACCACATGATTCCAGGCCATAGAACGTCCATCTTTTCTCACCATTAGTGATGCTGGTTGGATCTGTTGGGTTTTAGAAGTTCAGCAGTATCCGCAAAAGTCACAGGTCCTCAGCTTTATGGTAAATGCTAGCAAGGAAATGATTATCTGGCCATGGTCCTTGGATCATGATTGTTAAAAAGAGTATCTATATTTTGTGGATGATACATCAGCTCCATTCAACCCAACTGTGATAGACTTAGACTTAGAATAACTTTATTGTCACTTTGAATGTACACTAATCGGCATACATTAAAATGAAATTTCGTTGCAGACAGCTCTCAAAGGGTCTCCACCTCTAATATACACTACATAAACATGATAAAATAAATAAACAAACAAATAAATACAAAAGTATGTATATACCCACATATATTATATGACATGGAGAAGCAACACAGTATAGTTGTCATTGATAACTTCCCCTTGTTTAATCTATGCTGGTATTATGAGCAACTGCAACAGAAACAATGATAAAACTGAGTTGTTCCAAAGTACTTTGATTTTTAAATAAGAGGGATCAAGTTGTGGGATGTAAAAACTCAAATTTTCCTGCAAAGGTACTGAGAAACTGCAGACACAAGCATGTTTATGCCACTTTACCTGACATGTTTGTTATAACAAGACACTATAACAAATCATAGCTTCCTTCTTTTTCTTATGCTTGAGTTGAGATTCAAGCGTAAGAAGAGCCACCTAATTCAGCATCCTATTCCCAAGTAACGAAGCAAACACTTATGAGTTTCATAAGCTGGCCATAATAGCACCTTTTGCATAGTTAGAAGCTCTGCAACAAAAGAGGGACCATGGCATGGAGGGCGTTTGTTAACTCAATGAGCCTGTGCTCTGTGTTTTGAAGATGCTTGGAGGTTCCCCAAAAGTACAGCATAATTTTGGGAATGAGTCCTCGTCTTTTCCTCCAGTTCCAAAGACTTCACATCTGTAGAAAAAGCTACATTCTCCCCAAACCCTGTTCCTTGATCCATCCTTCTGTGTAGGTGATGTTACACTTTTGTGGCACACTTCTGTGGCAGTTTGTATTGCAACATGAAAGCCACAGGCAAAATAATTCTTTCCTTGAGCTTAATCTGGAGGAACATGAAGGACTAGCCCTGTTCTGAGGCTAATTTCACAGGTATAGCATGAAATTGAATGCAAGACTCTATTCTGGTAAGTGCTAGTCTGAGAACAATGGTCTGAGCACTCAGACTAAACTTTGCTGCACGAAAGTAATATTTGGCAAATAATCTGGTCTATAGCAAAAAGGTTTCATAAAGATGATTAGAGCAAGAGCATCATATTTACTGGTATGTATGTTCTGACAGTATTCAGGTAGTCCTCAACTTACAACAGTTCCTTTAGTGACCGTTCAAAGTTACAACAG